CTTTCCAAGTATGTAGAAATGTTTATTGTGGTTGACAATAAGTAGTTACAAATGGAATAATATAATGTGACCAACATTACACAGATGGTAACAGATGTCCACACGCTGGCCAAGTGGTACAATAAGGAGCTAAATAGTACTTGCTGGTTAGGAGATATGGACTAGTTAGGAGATATGAACAGAAAGAAAGCTAGTGCAAATGCCCCTGAATCTGCAGAAAACATTTCAAATTTTTAAATGCTGGAGAGACCGGCTGGAACCCTTTGAGAAAGGTGAAACGTTGTTACTCATATGATCATTGGTCAAAATCCTGGAAAGTACCAGGGCTATGCATTTCTCCATGGTATCTTAGAGCTAAGAGTACAGTGAGTGTTGAATCTTTCTTTCATGAAGATGTACCCCACTTTGCAGCTCTCATGGCTCATGAGCTTGGCCACAACTTGTAAATGAAACATGACTATATGGACTAAAAGTGTCATGGCCAGAACCTCTGTACCTGTACTATGCATTAATTTATTACTATAGATATGGGCTTCAGCAACTGAAGCTTCCACTGCTTCCATTCATTTTTGCATAGGCACAGAGAGGACTGCCTGTTTAATAAACTTGAGCACCAAAGCTCCTTTGGAAAGCCATATGGTGGGAACAAGATAGTGATGAAGGAAAAGAATGCAAGTGTGGCAATGTCCTTGATTGTGAAAGGGATCACTGTTGTTTGCCCTCACACTGGCCGAAGAAGGGTTCAGATTGTGCGTTTGGATTCTGTTGCAGACACTGCAAATTTCTAAAAGCAACCACACCCTGCTGCCTCAGCACAGGTGAATGTGACCTCTGAGAGCACTTTAATGGCACCTCTGAGTGGTGCCACACAGATATATACAAGCAAGATAGTAGCCCTTGCAAAGAACAAGGTTATTGTTACCAGGGCCAGTGCAGAAGCCTAGAGAATCAGTGCATTAAAATCTCTGGAAAGGGCACACGAGCTGCTTGGAAATTATTATCAAGGGGGATAGGTTTGGAAACTGGCAGTGAGTCTAAAGGATTGTCTAAAGTTTTAGCAAGTACAAAGCCAAATGTGTAAGATGTGAGAGACTGCTATGTGAAAACATCTAAAGATACCACATGCTGAAAAACATCACTTACCCATTCTCGCAGGACATGTGGTGTTGGAGTACAGACAGGGCTGATGAGAGAGAGGTAAAGGATGGAACCCCATGTGGTCCACAAAAGATGTGTATCAATCAATCCTGCTTAGGTACCACTGTACTCCACTATGACTACAACCTGGACAAGTGTCATGGGAAGGTTGTTTACAACAATTTTAAGAACTGGCACTTGTCTACAGCTATGCCCCTACCACATGAGAATTTAAGGATTAGGAGGTAGTCTACCATTGGCCCAGCTCCACACATCTCCTCTGACTCTCAGTATCACAAAAAGCTGATAATCCTAATTTGAGTTTTGCCTAGCTGCTTATTACTTCTCATTCCTACTATCTTTTTGTTTGCTTACATCCATAGACAATCTAAGACACTATCAATACAAAAAAAAAAATCACTGGAACAGCAAGATGAACAAACCTGAAAAACAGTTGATAATTACCTTCTTTCTGGTAATAAGGCCAAATATGAAGTGATACTGAAAGGACCTTTTAAGAACTGGAACTGGACTTCCAGTCAAGCGAAGTGGCTCATGCCTGTAATCCCAGCACTTTGGGAGGCTGAGGCAGGTGGATCACCTGAGGTCAGGCATTTGAGACCAGCCTGACCAACATGGTGAAAACCCATCTCTACTAAAATGCTACAAAAATTAGCCATGTGTGGTGGTGGGTGCCTGTAGTCCCAGCTACTCGGGAGGCCAAGGTAGGAGAATCGCTTGAACCCAGGAGGTGGAGGTTGCAGTGAGCCAAGATCATACCAGTGCACTATACCCTGGGTGACAGAGCAACACTCTGTCTCAAAAAAAAAAAAAAAAAAAAATTGGATTTCTTAGTTCTGATGTCCCTCAAGGACTATGGATATAGGAACTCTTTCTTGCCTCCATCTATTTTTCTATATGCGGATTGCTTATTCGTTTTTAAAATATAAGAAGTTAATGCAGCTTCCTAGGTGAGGCAGTCTTTTTTGTTCTGTGCTATCGTGAAATCAGGTCTCAGGATCTTTGGGACAATGAGAAGCCTCAAGATGTAATCTTGACAGAATAAGACCAGGTTACCCTCCATAACTTCCATGAAGTTCATGGTCTAAAACCAAAAGAGCTATCATTGAGCTCCCTGATCTTTCTTTCTTTCTTTTCTTTCTTTCTCTTTCTTCCTTCCTTTTTTCTTTCTCTCTCTCTTTTCTCTTCCTTCCTTCCTTCCTTCCTTCCTTCCTTCCTTCCTTCCTTCCTTCCTTCCTTCCTTCTTCTCTCTCTCTCTTTCTCTTTCTCTCTTTCTTTCTGATGGTGTTTCACTCTTGTTGCCCAGGTTGAAGTGCAATGGTGCGATCTTAGCACAACCTCTGCCTCCTGAGTTCAAGCGATTCTCCTGCCTCAGCCTCCTGAGGGCCTGGGATTACAGGCATGTACCACCATACCCAGCTAATTTTGTAGTTTTAGTAGAGACAGAGTTTCTCCATGTTGGTCAGGCTGGTCTCAAACTCCCAACCTCAGGTGATCCACCCACCTTGGCCTCCCAAAGTGCTGGGATTATAGGCGTGAGTCACTGTGCCCAGCCCCTGACATTTCTATAGAAAGCTCTTTTGGAAAGATACCTGTAACTTACTTTTCATAGCATCCTGTCTAATCTTCCATTATAATCCTCTCAGTCAATTTCTCTAATCCTAAAGATTTTGCCTCAGACATACCAAGATCATTTATCAGGTGAGAAGAAGACCACCTTTGCAATCATCAGATTAGTAGGCCTAGATGTTCTGATTAATTATCATTCCAGTCACCTTGTCCATTTGGCTTTCCCTTTGTTTTGGCATCATACTATATGATGCTGTGGACTCAGACTGGCCTTGTTCACAACTTAGCTGGAGAAACCAAATATCACTACTACATGATTTAAGAGGAAGAAACAGATTAGATAAATATTCCCACCCATGAATGAAAGTCTGCAGTCTTTTTTCCTTTTCCAAAAGATTTAAATTTTACCTATAAGTCACTTTTTTGCTTGTTCACCCATTTATCTTATAAACATGTATTTAGCACTATTAGGCTGAATGACGTGAAACTGATATTAGACCATTTTCACCTATAAAAATGGCAAGTTGTTCACATTGTTCAATCAAACTTTATTCATTGATAAATTGAACACAATGAAACCAACCTTGGACTTCTGCTTGTAAATGCAAGTTAACAGTTATTGATTTCTAGATTTTTTTTTTTAGTTTCTATTTCTCTTAAATCTTATTGTTGCTGTAATGTCAAAAGATTAGCCTTAGTATTTTAGAGTGGTGTGATCCCTACTGTTCAAGTCCTAGAACAGAACTGAACATATGAGACTTAGATATGGTGTGTCTGAAAGTCCCACTATCACTTATTTGATAGTGGTTGTCCTTGTTTCTTATGAGTTTCCAAAACTCTTCAAAGAATAGAAACCCAGGATTTTTGTGTCCAACTTTAGAGACAGTAAAGCAATGGCAAGACCTGAGTAAGTTGTTGCATGGCCCCCACCCTGACTTCCCCTGCAACCATGGAGTAGAAAGCCTTGAAATGAAACATATAAATAATAATCTGGAATTTATTTTTCCTAGAAGAGACTTAGACAAATCTAATATCCATCAAGGTAACATGAGTCTATCTCTGAGATGAAAAGTGTCTTCCTCTCCCTGAACAGAGGAGAATTTAAGGATCACTAGTGAATCTGGGAATAACTGGAGAGATACTCCCAATTCATCTAGAATGACTACTAACAATAGCACTATATTTCCTTTTGGTTCTGCAGTTTAGAGCATAGTTAGAAAAGATTTAAGACGTCCTTTCCCAAAATTCTTTCCAATCCATTAGTGTAGAAAAACTCCATTTCCTGGATGTTCCAATATTGCAGTTTCAAAGAATGGTGGAAGTACTGGTAGGAAAAGTAAGGGTGGATTCCAGTGAATTTAAGCCCCTGCCATAGCATCTCTTCTGTGAGCATAATAACGGTGTCTGGGTATCTGCGTCACGCTGAGCCTCCTGCTTTAGTTGATGGAATTTGTGTTGTGTCCAGCCATATACTCCACAGTTGAGTAGACCCTGGGATGTTGCCGTTAGAGCCTGGAGGAGATGAAGGGGTGATGCAGCCCATGCTTCAGGTTTCCAGAGATCCAGGGAATAATTCCTACTTCCCTTATTCATAAAGCATTGTTATACTGTCTCTATCTCAAACATAAAGATCTGACATCAGTTTTTTTTTGTATTTTTTCTACTTCATCCTGAACTCACTCTCTAAACTACACTATCATGGATGACTGAGAGTTGGTCATATTTCTTAATATATACATAGAAACAATGAAGCAGCTTCAATGCCTCTCCTTCTTGCCTCATTTCCCAGAGTAGCCTTGAGAAAACTATTTCATTAGAATAGTCATATAGTCCAAAAAGTATTCTTAAATCCAATAAAGAAAAAGAGAGAGAGAGAATTATTCCATCCCCTCCCCACCATTCACCAAGAATAGTTCATTTATTCCATTCAATTTACTCTGGATGGGAGAGAACCATGTCACTATCAATGTTTCATAAAAACATGCCTGGCAGATCTTATTTTTGCTGTCCATTCCTTAAAAACGTATCAGCAAAATAAAACTGACCAGAGATATATATGCTCTGGATGCGTGGCAGTACTTTTACAACATCATCTACTTCGACTTTGAGAAAATTTTCACATTCTTCATAACTGAGTGTAAATAATACATTTTCTCTTTTGCAATATAGAAATAAATACTCTGAGGGAAAAAACTGTGCTTACCAAGTAAAGGTAATATGAGAAAATAGGATGAGAGTGTAAGAACAGAGATAATGAATGTTAAAGGTGTTACCTGGAGAACATAAAGAGCCATGTGAAGCTTGGTGTCCTGTGGCTTAGTCAGCTTTATGATCATCACAATGACAGCTGTAAATACACAAAGTGTAAACCTTCTTGTCAGCCCTGACTACCTGAAGTATCAGATTACTCCATACACATGCCTGAGCATTATCAGAATGGAAACAACAGGCATAATAAAATCCATCAGTGAGGTTAACCTGTTATGCAAACCAATGGGTCTTAGGCCTCCAACTTCTAGTCTTTAATAATAAAACTTTGTAGATTATTAGTGTAGTAATGGTAGCAGAATATACTATAAGAAGGTAATAATTTACACTTCCTATCAATTCAGATTTTCCCAAGCTTTTTCATAAAAATTATCCAATCTGGCTAGGCGTGGTGGTTCATGCCTGTAATCCCAGGACTTTGGGAGGCCAAGGTGGGCAGATCATCTGAAGTCAGGAGTTTGAGACCAGCCTGGCCAACCTGGTGAAACCCCATCTCTACTAAAAATACAAAAATTAGGCTGGGTGTGGTGACTCATGCCTATAATCCCATCACTTTGGGAGGAAGAGGTGAATGGATCACAGGTCAGGAGTTCTAGACCAGCCTGGTCAATATGGTGAAACCCCGTCTCTACTATAATTTTGTAAAAAATACAAAAATTAACCGGGCACTTAGGAGGCTGAGACAGGAGAATCTCTGGAACCCAGGAGGTGGAAGTTGCAGTGAGCTGAGATCATGTTCCTGCACTCCATCCTGGTGACAGAGTGAGACTCTGACTCAAAAAAAAAAAAATATATATATATATATATACACACACATATATATACATATATACACATATATATATACATATATATATACACATACACACACACACATATATATATATACACACATATATATACAAAAAAAAAGAAAAAAAATTTAGCCAGGCATGGTGGCATGTGCCTGTAATCCCAGCTACTTGAGAGGCTGAGGCAGGAGAATTGCTTGAACCTGGCAGGTGGAGGTTGTAGTAAGCCAAGACTGCAAAACTGCATTCCAACCTGGGCAATAGAGTGAGACTCTGTCTCAAAAAAAAAAAAATTATCCAATCATCTGATCCTCACTATAACCTTATGTAGTAAGAAGGGCAGGTGTTAGTATCTCCAAGTCCATCATGATGTTTCTTCCTTTTATATCATTGTGCATCTCATGCTTAATTCTCTTAATTTCTAAAACATAAGAAGCAAAAGGAGTTAAGGAGGTTGGTAAAAACTGGAAATATGGATAGGGCCCATGCAATTTTACAAGCAGAATAGGAATTTGTAGCCATCCTTCTTGGTGAGACCACTTTGCTTGATCAGAATCTAATAACTGCCCTCTTCACTGCCCATCTCTTCTCATTAAGATACCTACCCGGGCCCCAGCAGCAAAAGAAGGCCACTGGGTAGAAGCGCACTCTCTGGTCCATAATGTGAATCACTGCCCACTGTTCACTCCCCAGAAAGCCAGATGACTTCACAAACTTCTTATACAATATCTGGGCTTGGATAAGTAAGACCTAAACATAAGTACAGCAGTGAGCAGTTTATTTAAAGCTTAGTAAAATGCCCCGGGTCTATCCTCCTATTCTATCATTTTGCAAAGATTATTCTCTTAGAATCTCACAACAGGAATGACCCCATTCTCTTATCTTTACTTTCTGAGATCAGGCTTTTTCTGAGAAAAAATTACCTTAAGAGTGAATTTGGCCAGGCATGGTAGCTCACGCCTGTAACCCCAGCACTTTGGGAGGCTGAGGTGAGCAGATCACGAGGTCAGGAGTTTGAGACCACACAGGCCAACACGGTGAAACCCTGTCTTTAGTAAAAATACAAAACTAGGCCGGGTGTGGTGGCTCACGCCTGTAATCCCAGCACTTTGGGAGGCTGAGGCGGACGGATCATGAGGTCAGGAGTTCAAGACCACACAGGCCAACATGGTGAAACCCTGTCTCTACTAAAAAATATAAAAATTAGCTGGGCATGGTGGCATGTGCCTGTAATCCTAGCTACTTGGGAGGCTGAGGTAGGAGGATTGCTTGAACCGGGACGCGGGAGGCAGAGATTACAATGAGCAGAGATAGCACCATTGCACTCCAGCTTGGGATACAGACAGAGCAAGACCCATCTCAAAAAAAAAAAATACAAAGATTAGCCAGGCATGGTGGCGAGTGCCTGTAATCCCAACTACTCAGGAGGCTGAGGCAAAAGAATTGCTTGAACCCGGAAGGCAAAGGTTGTTTTCTCTACTTTCAGCTGTCTGAATAAGGTTTAGCTCATGAAACAAATATAAATCAGTTAAAAAATTCCAATGTGTTTTTTTGCAGAAAATAAATTAGATAACACTCTTGGTAACAAATCTGACTCTTGTTCCCTAATCCAGATCTACTCTCTAAGTTAATAACCTCATTACTTAATCAAGTTCAGCCATGTACACAGTCTTGTTTCCCTACATAAGCATCAAAAGGAGACGAGTTTGAGAATACTTAAAAGAATCAGTTCACCATCTGTTGATTTTTAAATAATCTAGAATGTTAATTCTGAGTATATACACTGAAACCTGGGCTATTCTAAAGAAGCAATCAGGAATCTGCAGGGTGCCAAGGTTTGGGACTTGTTTCTCTTGGTAGTTCCAAATATAAACCATCGAACCCATTTTGATATGAACTAGTCATTGTGTACTCTTTGCAAAGCTGCTGATTTGAACTGCACCATCTTGTTCGTGTGTGTTTAAGAGAAGTTTTTTTTTTTTTTTTTTTGAGACAGAGTCTCCTCTGTTGCCCAGGCTAGAGTGATGCAATCTCAGCTCACTGTGATCTCCGTCTCCTGGGTTCAACTGATTCTCATGCCTCAGCCTCCTGAGTAGCTGGGACTATATGTGCGTGCCACTATACCTGGCTAATTTTTGTATTTTTAGTAGAGATGGCGTTTGACCATGTTGGCCAGACTGGTTTCGAATTCCTGGCCTCAAGTGATCGGCCCACTTTGGCCTCCCAAAGTGCTGGGATTATAGGTGCGAACCACTGTGCCCAGCCAAACTTCATCTCTATAACTTATGTTTGAGTTGTCAAAGGAAATTCCCCATTACTCTATCTGGTACACAGGCCCTAGTGGGATACATTTGATCTGCAAATAGATACCTTGTAATTCTTGAACTGCAATATAAAAAGAGGATAAAATGATACTGAAAAAGAGATATGGCAAATACAAAGGGATATTTGCTCATTTACTGCTTTTGCATGAGGCAGTTATGTAACTTACTATCCCCTGGCTAATTATTATAATTGTACATCATCCTGATGATATCAAATGAGTATTTGATAACTTCATGAGCCACTTAGCACTTTAGCCCCAGTTAGACGTAGCATAAATACAAATTTATGGACAAATAAAGAATTTAAAAAAGAAAATTATCTTATTATTTGGAAAATTAAATCAAAGCATATGTTCTATGTCCAGAGTGTCATCTATCTATATAAAGAATATATGTTATGCCCTAAGTGCATGCAGAAAAGAAGTAGGAAATGGAAAAAAAAAAAAAAAAGATAAGAACAATAGCAAAAAAAGAATATATGTGACACATAAGAGTTTTCTGGCCAGAGGGGATTGATGAAGCCTATATTAGTTGTAGAGTGGGCATATTTTCACCTAATGAATACAGGCTCTTTTCTTTCTCTCCTTATCTGATTTGGAGAAGTCCAAAAACTTGTGGCAGTGATTATATGTCAAGATCTCCTAGCTACTTTCTTAGTTCTAGGACCACAAGAAGTGCCTCTCTGCCCCATCTTTCCCAGGTCCTGAGAATATTGGCCCATCCCCCTCACTTTCCCTTCTCTCCACAAAGGAAGGTAGGGTGGTACCGTACCATAATGGTAAGGAGGCTGAGTACAAAGCTGCCCAGGAAAATGGTGACACCATAAAAATAAAGTATGCTACAGACAGACATGTCGGCAGAAGGTAGGAGTTCAGCCATGGATGATGGTGGTGAGTGCATCAGGATACACCTAGGAAGTAAATTAACAAACAGGAGAACTACTACAGATGTAAAAAAAAAACAAAAGCTGCTCACCAAGAGTTAATAAGCATGTCATTTTACTTATCATTTTGCTAACTCTTGCCTATAACACCTTGTCACTCTCCAATAGACACATTTTCTTGTCATTTTGTGTGACACTTTTACTTTTGTATTTTTCCCTTTACTACATCTTGTTCCCTAGCCCATTTCTAACATAAGCACTTTGGTCAGAATGTATGTAGAAAGTCTTTTTCCAGCTCTTATTTATAGAAAATAATAGGTATAGTATGCCATGAAAATCATACATTTTGTTCTTACTTACTTGTGGTTCTGGCTGAAGTTTTGGAAACATTCACTAGTATTGCCCAGACAGAATACAGGTGTCATCAATAGTAGAGGTATCAGGCTGGGAGGGGAAAAAAAGTATCACCCTAATATCCAGTCTTTTTCATGCCCTTCCTCCTTTGCAGAATATTCTCCTGCTCTTCCCTCAATTATATCATCCCACCAATTGCTGCAAATAACACATTTTATTTCTTCAAGAAAAATATCTCAAATACCTTTGGTATTCCTTCTTTTCCAGTTCCTAGGGAAGTACAATGCAGTGGGGAATTAATTTTATACCTAAATTAGTGAATCCTACCATAGTTTCACAGATAATCTCTGGGAGCTGTATGGTCAGATAAAAATCCAAGTGGCTCAAAGTGAAAGGAAAATCTGCAAAGGAGTTCTGTTTGCAGTCTGTTTTACTTTCTGTGGTGACCAGGAATATTCTCATTCTCATCAGCCCCTTCTTGGGAGCTTTTCCAAAGCTTAACTTTAAATAGACAGCTATTTATCCAACTAAATGCAACCAGCTCCCTGTAGGAGGAAAAGATCCAGGAGCAAAAGTCACAAAAGTCTAAAACCAACTCTGATATGGCCACCACTTTAGGTGAGATCCAAACACTTTTTGGACTCTATAATCCGAACAGTCTTACCCATTGTTATAAAGTAGATGAGATCCTGAAGGTTGTCTATTACAACTCTTTATGATATAGAAAAAGGAGTAAGCGATCCAAAGACCAGAGAAATTTGTTCAAGGTCACATAGAATTAATGGCAGAATTGGAGCTAACATCCAAATCTATAACATCAACTACTTTTCTATTCAATGAGGAAAAATGGAACCAATGAACACATATTTGTTGCTTCTAAGTCAGGCTCTATGAGGACTTAGGAGTGCCAATGGAAATAAAGGGCATTGTCCTATTTGTTCCCACCTGAACACCAGTATAATGAGAATCTACACCTTGCTAAGAAGTAAAGAAAAAAATCTTACCTTGAGAAAACGAGGGCCATTTGACCAACTCGACAAGTATAATCTATCATCTGTGAAAAAAATAAATATGAGAAATGTCTTAAGACATTATCAATCATATAATAATAAATACCAGCTCAGTTAACACTCTAGAACAAAAAGATTTCCAAAAGCCAGTTTTTTCCTGTCAAGCAATATTTGCTATAAAATTCATCTAATAGATAGTTCCTTATTAGCACTGTATCTAATAGAATTTTATCTCTATTATTATATTCTAAAAAGTACAACAACACAAAAAAACCCACAAAGAAAGCCTGCAGGAAGTAGCCTAATATGGAATTTGGGTACTCAAACCAAGTCTCTTAAGAATAAAGGCATAGGCCAGGCACGGTGGCTCACACCTGTAATCCCAGCACTTTGGGAGGCCGAGGAGGGCGGATCATGAGGTCAAGAGATTGAGACCATCCTGGACAACATGGTGAAACCCTGTCTCTACTAAAAAATACAAAAATTAGCTGGGCATGGTGGTGTGCGCCTGTAGTCCAGCTACTGGGGAGGCTGAGGCAGGAGAATTGCTTGAACCTGGGAGGGGGAGGTTACAGTGAGCCGAGATCACACCACTGCACTCCAGCCTGGCGCCTGGTGACAGCAACTCTGTCTCAAAAAAGAAAAAAGAAATAAAAGAAGGGCATATATGAAATCACATAGTAACCCTCCATCTTCTAATAACAGTAAAGTTCTTCTCTCTTTTAGACCCAGAGAGGTGTGGACTTCTTCAGACTTTATGGGTGGAATGAAACCCTTCCTATAAGATGACCAGTAAAAAGTGTAATAGGCCAGGATTAGTATAATAGGGCAGGGTCAAATATGCCCTTTGGATATAAGACTGTTAGACACTAGAAGATAGAACATTTTCAAAATCTCGTCTTGTGTTACACACTGTAAAACAACTTACAGAAGAATTATTCCTACCCACTAGGACTTCATGATGTAAGACTGAATGGAATATCTTAAAGAAATAGTAGAATTAAAAATAAGCTTTTTTTCTTTTTTAAGGTAGAAATCATATTTAGAATGGCATTGTTAGGGATCAATAAGCATTAAGTGAACAACTAATCAATAATCAGATATGGGTAACTAATATGCCCCAAACAGTTTGGATCTGGAATAGGACAGCTAGTGCTGACTTTAGGAAAGTAAGTAAAATTGGTTTTCGTGACCCCTCCCCCACCCACTTCCATTCTTCACTTTTTTTTTTTTTTTTTTTTTTTTGAGACCGAGTCTTGCTCTGTCACCCAGGCTGGAGTGCAGTAATGCAATCTCAGCTCACCACAACCTCCACCTCCAGGGTTCAAGTGATTCTCCTGCCTCAGCCTCCTAAGTAGCTAGCAGTACAGGTATGTGCCACTATGCCCAGCTCATTTTTTTATTTTTAGTAGACAGGGTTTCACCATGCTGACCAGGCTGGTTTCGAACTCCTGATCTTGTAATCTGCCTGCCTCAGACTCCCAAAGTGCTGGGATTACAGGCATGAGCCACTGTTTTTGGCCCCACTTTTTATTCTTTCCTCCACCAGGTGGTTCCTTTGTTTAACTCTTACTTTTACCTGGGTACCAATGAATCTCTGATACGAAGTTTATTGCTGGCTGGGTGTGGTGGCTCATACCTGTAATCCCAGCACTTTGGGAGGCTGAGGCAAGCAGATCACAAGGTCAAGAGATTGAGACCATCCTGGCCAACATTGTAAAAACCTGTCTCTACTAAAAGAACAAAAATTAGCTGGGCATGGTGGCATCCACTTGTAGTCCCAGTTACTCAGGAGGCTGAGGCTCCTGCTGAGGCAGGAGAATTACTTGAACCAGGGAGTTGGAGGTTGTAGTGAGTCGAGATTGTGCCACTTCACTCCAACCTGGCAACAGAGTGAGACTCTGTCTCAAAAAAAAAAAAAAGAAGGGTAATTATCAGTATGGAATACCCAGAGATAAACTGAAGAAAAGTTACCAGAGTATAATCCTATGTTGCACAATACAGTAGCTATAGCTGCATGTGGATAATTAAGTTAAAACTAAATAAAATTTAGAATTCAATTCCTCAATCACATTAGCCACATTATATGTTCAGTATCCACATATAGCTAGTAGCTACTAAACTAGACTGTGAATTAAATATTTTGATTATTGAAAAAAGTTGAACAGCTCTTTTACAGGCTGTAATATGCTGTTCAGGGTACTGCTTAAGAGCCTCTTCATGTTACTTTTCAGTTATTTCTCAGTGCCCTTTTTCCTTACAGCAAGACAGAGTGAGAAACAGAAATTTAAAATGCATTCTCTGCCCCTGGCCTTCTTCAACCATGAACATCTAGAACAACAGAAAAAAGTAAGAAGAATATCTCCTTAAGAAGTCAATCAAGGCTGGCCTCCATGGCTCACGCCTGTAATCCCAGTACTTTGGGAGGCCGAGGCGGGTGAATCACAAGGTCAAGAGATCGAGACCATCCTGGCCAACATGATGAAACTTTGTCTCTACTAAAAATACAAAAAAATTATCTGGGTGTGGTGGTGGGTGCCTATAGTCCCAGCTACTCAGGAGCCAGGAAGCTGAGGCAGGAGAATCACTTGAACCTGGGAGGTGGAGGTTGCAGTGAGCCAAGATCACGCCACTGCACTCCAGCCTGATGACAGAATGAGACTCCAACTCAAAAAAAAAAAAAAAAAGAAGAAGTCAATCAGATGAAGAGTTCATAGAATCATAGCATCTTGGAGGTGGAAGGGACATTAAAAATCACATAGACTAACAACCCATTTTATTTATTTATTTATTTATTTTTAGATGGTGTTTCACTCTTGTTGCCTAGGCTGAAGTGTAATGGCATGATCATGGCTCACCACAACCTCCTGGGGACAAGCGATTCTCCTGCCTCAGCCTCCTGAGTAGCTAGGATTACAGGCATGCACCACCATACCCGGCTAATTTGTATGTTTAGTAGAGATGGGTTTCACCATATTAGTCAGGGTAGTCTGCCCACCTTGGCCTCCCAGAATGCTGGGATTACAGGCATGAGCCACCGCACCCAGCCAGCACTTCATTTTATAATGAAAAACTGGAGGTGCAAGAAAGGGAGATGATATGTCTCAGGTCACAAGAGGAGACAACCGAACTGGGTCTAGAAGACAGATCTTCTGATCTACCCTGAATGCCCTTTTCACGATATAATAGTATTATTTATTTGTTCAACAAGTATTTACTGGCCAGGCACGGTGGCTCATGCCTGTCATCCCAGCACTTTGGGAGGCCAAGGTCGGCAGATCACTTGAGGTCAGGAGTTTGAGACCAGCCTGGCCAACATGGTGAAACCCCATCTCTACAAAAAACACACAAAATTCAGCCTGATGTGGCAGTGCATGCCTGTAATCCCATCTACTTGAGAGGCTAAAGGATGAGAAATGCCTGAACCCAGGGTTGGCATAGAGTCAAGAAGAATTTCTCTTGCTGAGTCAAACCAGGCAGGAATGCCAGTACTATAAATAATATTCCTATAATCAAACCTGAATGTGTGTGTGTGTGTGTGTGTGTGTGTGTGTGTGTGTGTGTGTGAGAGAGAGAGAGAGAGAGAGAGAGAGAGAGAGACAGAGAGACAGAGAGAGAGAGACAGAGAGAGAAGGGAGAAGAGGAAGTGATGTCAATAGGATGGAAACTACGGGAACCTGTTTTTTGATTAATCTCCATAAATGCAGCTAGCTAGTGCTAAATTTACACTGTTTATCAGGGATATACAGGTTTTTACATATTATGTCACCCAGGCTGGGGTACAGTGGCTTGAATGATCCTCCCGCTGCAGCACCCCCCACAGTAGCTAGGACCTTAGGCATATGCTACAATGCCCAGCTAATTTTTTTGGTATATTTTGTAGAGATGGGTTTTTGCCACATTGCCGAGACTGGTCTTGAACTCCTGAGCATAAGCAATCTGCTCCCTTCAGCCTCCCAAAGTGCTGGGATTACAGGTATGAGCCACCACACCCAGCCTAGCATACTATTATTAACTATTGGCTCTGAATAAAACTTACCAGTGGAGATGGGCTCTGCCCACTCTGGGTGTGTTTCATCCTCAGCTCTGTGTACAAATACCAGATGTAATTGACGGTGCAGAGAAATGAAGAAATGTAGAATACCTAGGTTAAAATCAAAACAGCCTATCATAAATGTCTCACTCTGACACTGTGAAGTTCTTTCAACATATTCCATTATGGGAATCCTACGTACTAGTCTATTAGTAATGTATCACATAGTGTCTACACCAGGCAAAACCATACCAAGTCTGAAGTTCTGTGTGTGTGTGTGTGTGTGTGTGTGTGTGTGTCAGAGTTTTCGCTCTTGTTGCCCAGGCTGGAGTGCAGTGGTACAATCTCGGCTCACTGCAACCTCTGCCTCCTGGGTTCAAGCGATTCTCCTGCAACGTCCTCCTGAATAGCTGGGGTGTCATGTACCACCATGCCTGGCTAAATTTTTGAATTTTTAGTAGAGATGGTGTTTCACCATGTTGGCCAGGCTCGTCTCAAACTCCTGACCTCAGGTGATCCACCTGCCTCAGCCTCCCAAAGTGCTGGAATTACAGATGTGAGCCACTTCACCTGGCCCCAAGTCTGAAATTTTTAATAGGCCTACCTAAAACATGCCCTGCTTCCTTATTTTCTCCTTTGGACTGTTCAGAAAAACCACAGCATTATCCACCTCTACCTCCCCAAGAGTCTCACTTTTATGAAGATATCATATAGTCTTTTTCTATTTTATTTTTTAATTTAAAACGAAATAACGATTTCTATTTCTAGTAATGATAAGCTAAGCTATTTGAATCAACTTTCCATTCAAAAGAACTAAACATGCTGGATAAAATATTTTTTAAATCCTTAAAAGAACCTAAGAACTGAAATTATATCAAGGAACTAGTGGGATAAAATCTAAGGGAAGGAATTTCTACTTCCAGCTTTGATGAGGTAACAGGAAAAGAATTTACCCTCCAGCCTTAAACAACTAAAAATTGAATAAAATATATGAAAATATCCAGTTTTCAAACAGTAGGCAACAAGCAGAAGAGAACACCAATCCCTGAAAAAAGAGAAGCAAGGTGAGTCCATCAAGGGCCCCAGCTCACTGGCTGGTAAGCGTGCGTACAGAAGGGCCGGTCATGGTAGCTCATGTGTAATCATAGCACTTTGGGAGGCTGAGGTGGGTGGATCACAAGTTCAAGAGATCAAGACCATCCTGGCCAACACGGTGAAACCCCGTCTCTACTAAAAATACAAAAATTAGCTAGGCGTGGTGGTGTGTGCCTGTTGTCCCAGCTACTTGGGAAGCTGAGGCAGAAGAATCGCCTGAACCCAGAAGGCAGGGGTTGCAGTGAGCCAAGATCGTGCCACTGCACTCCAGCCTGGTGAAAGAGTGTGACTCCATCTCAAAAAAAAAAAAAAAAAGAGTGAGTATAGGAGGAGGAATCCAAACAGACCACTGTCTTGGTGAGTTGAGAAGACAAAATTCAGTTTGGGTGGCCAAGGCAGCTAAAATGTGTGAAGTACAGTATCCGAGCAGAGGAAGCTATATGCTGAGATGATGTTCAGGAAAGCTGCAGAGGTCACCCCAAGTCTTTGGTTAAGTATTAATCAGTGTATATGGGAGAGAAAACCAGAGAATCATCAGAAAGGAGTAGATGAGACAATCCCTAAAGCTCCCACAGAGCCAGGAATAGTTTGTTTTCTCATCAACCAGGTGGAAAAATACACAGGGCATAATCATAAGAAGAGTATTGCTTCTGTAATGGGACCAAATTGTCTGTACATAAAAGGCTGCCCTAATGCTTAAAAGCAAGCCTTCTAATTAGCAGGGTGTAGTGGCACTCGCCTGTAATCTCAGCTACTCTGGGGGCTGAGGCAGGCAAATTACTTGAGTCCTGGAAGTGGGGGTTCCAGTGAGCCAAGGTGTTCAGCCTGGACAACAGAATGAGACTCCATCTAATAAAAAAAAGCAAGCCTTCAAAAAACAGGCAAGCCTTGAAAAGATCAAACAGATCAAACAGATTCAGAGTTAACTTTATCCAAGACAACCGCCTCACCCATTTAAAGGAACGTATTTAAAAATCTAATGCCAAACAATGTAAAATCCACAATGTCTCGTATCTAATAAAACAAGGCATATAAAGAAGCAGGAAAATCTGATCCATAACCAAGAGTAAAGTTAATCAATATAAGTGGACTCAGAAGTAACACAGATTATAAAAATTAGTAGACAAATATGTTAGAGGAACTATTACAAATATACTTCTTACGCTTAAAAAGGTAGAGGAAAGTAGAAAAATGAAAAATATAAAAAAGATCCAAACTGAATTTCTAGGGATGAAAAATATATGAAATGAAAAATATGGCATATTAGAAACTGGAAAAGATTGGTAAACTTGAAGATATAGAAATATAAACAATCTGAGAAAGATCACATAGAGTAAAAAGACTTTAAAGAATGAACACTCAGTGAACTGTGGAATAATAGCAAAGTTAATGCACATCAAATTGGAATTCCAGCAGTTAAGAGGGAGAAAAGAATGTTTGAAAAAATAATGGCCAAAATGTTTCTAAATTTGATAAAAACTAGAAACCATCATACCCAAGAAGTTTAACAAATCTAAGCACAAGAAATGAGGGAATCTGTGGGGATCACTCCCGTGTGAGGCCCCTGGGAAATGGGCCTCGCCATACGGTGAGCTTGAGCCTGGACACAGATCCCCAGATGGGGGAGTCGAGCTGAGGGAAAGCAGGAACCAAGAGAGGGACTATGTTATTCTAAATAGTTAACAGACATTACTTTATAGATATGAGGACTTGGGAGTCAATGTGTCCACTTTCGGCTTCTTATGGTTTATTGCTTGATTGTTTTCATTTTGGACCCTTGTTACCTTCATTGTAAAATATTAACTTAAGTGTTTACACTTGGTAACTTACTTACATAACTTACTGGGTGTAACTGTAACTTACTTACCGTAGCTTACTGGGTGTAACTGTAACTTACTTATCATAGTTTACAGGGGTGACTGTAACTTATTTTCCTTGACCTATTGGGCGTAACCTACTTACTGGATGTAACCTACTTACTGGACTTAACTTACTTACTGGGCGTAACTTAGTGGGTGTAACTTGCTTACTGTAACTTAAGTACGTTAATCTGGTGTAAACAACTTTGACTTCAGAAAAGTATATAATGAAACGTATTGCAAAAATAAAATTGCTGCTTGGACATAGCCTAAGCCAGCCCTCCGGACTCCGCTTTTCTATTTTCTTTCACTTCTGTGCACTCTCTCCCTCAGGTTGAACGAGACATCTAAGTGGCGGTCTCGGGGACTCCTGCAGGTCAGTAGTCCCCTGGCAGACGTGCCAGACCCCAACAAAGAAACATAAAGAAAACACCCCAAAGTACATTGTAACCAATGATAAACAGAAAATCCCCAAAGCAACTAGTGTAACAATGCACATTACATACACAGGAATTAAGATAAAGAGTGTCAGCAGATTTCTTATCAAAAAGAATGCAATCCAAAAAAATGAGAGTAGTATCTTTAAAACTCTGAAAGAAAAAAACAAACCAGCCGGGCGCGGTGGCTCACGCCTATAATCCCAGCACTTTGGGAGGCCAAGGCGGGTAGATCACAAGGTCAAGAGATTGAGACCATCCTGGTCAACAAGGTGAAACTCCGTCTCTACTAAAAATACAAAAATTAGCTGGGCACGGTGGTGCGCGCCTGTAGTCCCAGCTACTCGGGAGGCTGAGGCAGGAGAATTGCTTGAACCCGGAAGGCGGAGGTTGTGGTGAGCTGAGATCGTGCCATTGCACTCCAGTCTGGGTAACAACAGTGAAACTCCGTCTCAAAAAAAAGAAAAAAACAAACCAACTGTGTCAACACAGCCAAAATGCCTTTCAGAAAAAAGACAAAACTAAACACTTTTTCAGACAAACAAAAACTCAGATAATACAGTGAAACAGATCATTACTACAAGAAATATTAAAGGAAGTCCTTCAGGTAGAAAACAGAAGATACCAGATAGAAATTTCTTTTCTTTATTATTATTATTATTTAAGATGGGGTCACACCATGTTGCCCAGGCTGGTCTCGAACTCCTGGGCTCAAGTGGGCCTCAGTCTCCCAAAGTGCTGGGATTACCATGCCCCACTAAATTTCTCATTTGAACACACAGGAGTTAAAGAGATAATTCTTTAAAAAAAAAAGGAGAGGGGGGCCTGAGTAGTAGAGTAGTAGAGCTAAACTAATGCTAGAGAAGAGGCTACTCTAGATTTATACTTAATAGCAAAGCTTCAGAGGATCAAGCTGATCCAAAAGTGATTTAACTCTGACAAAACAAACTTCCACAGTTTCTAAAGGAAGATAACAAAATCCAAATCCACAAAAAACGTAAAACATGATATTCACAATGTCCAGGATCCAATAAAAATTACCAGACATTTATAAAGCATAGGAGTAAAACGTAAAAATAATGGGAGAATAAAAATTGTGTAGATGGGATGAGGGGAAACAGACTTCTTTGAGTATACCTTTCTATGCAGTTCTGACTTTTAGAACAACGTTAATGTTTACATACTAAAATATATATGTGTGTACATATATATATGTACACACATATTATATATTATATAATGTCTAAAACAAACCAAGATGGACAGGTGTAGGGATGAATTACAAACAGAAACAGCCGGGTGCTGTGGCTCACGCCTGTCATCCCAGCACTTTGGGAGGCTGAGTCAGGCAGATCACCTGAGGCTGGGAGTTTGAGACCAGCCTGACCAACATGGAGAAACCTTGTCTCAACTAAAAATACAAAATTAGCCTGGCATAGTGGCACATGCCTGTAATCTCAGCTACTCGGGAGGCTGAGCGAGGAGAATTGCTTGAACCTGGGAGGTGGAGGTTGCAGTGAGCCAAGATCATGTCATTGCACTCCAGCCTGGGCAACAAGAGCAAAACTCCATCTCAAAAAACAAAAACAAAACTGACTGTTAAAGAATAATGTTAAGTACACTGAAGGCAATGGGGAAGAAAATAACTAACCTAAGTAACTATATAAGTTATAGAAGAAAATATAGGTGAAAAATCTTAGTGATATTAGGTTTCATAAAG